GCAAACCAGCTGTCTAGCCAACTGAGCTAACTGACCTTCACTATTCCAGAGTATAACAACTCACAAAATAAAGCTGTCTCCTTCACTTCCTGCTGGGTCATATCTTAAGCCTATGTCAGCATTGTCAATATTAGAAATTGCTGGAAAAGCTTAGCAGGTCCCACAGCATCTGGGAGAGAAATCAGAGATAACATGTTTGTCAAGCCTCTTGTCAATAAAAATGTTTTCTCCTCATTTACTCTGCCAAACTGCCGCACTTCGTTTTTGCTTAACCTTCTCTGCTTCATGGAGAATAAACTCAGCTTCTTCAATCTCAGTACTCCTGTCCCTGATCCTAGGTACGATCCTGGTGAGTCTCCTCTGCAGCCTTTCTCCCAAGATTTAACATCCTTCCCAAGGAATGGTGCCCAGAATTGGATGCAAAAGCCCTGCTGAGGTTCAACCAGTTATTTATAAAGGTTTGGCATATCTTACTTGTTTTTTGTACTCCAGGCCATGAGGTTTAAAGACAAGGATAAACTGATGGTATCCATGGAAATTAGAAGTGGATTTATTTAAACACACCCACAAAGTCCTGAGTGTGGTTCTAGAGAATGTTGATCGACTAGAGAGATTAATAACAATATCGAGTAAACAAATATTGAGACAATGTTCATGGTGAGATAAATCAATATACAGCCTTGTTTCAGTGTCTTGATTCAGACTGCAAACTTAGATTTGGGAATATTCCTGCAGAATTTGTCGCAAACCATCTCCTCTGAAAATGCCCCATCAAGACACACAGTCGCTTTTCCTAGTTCCAATGTTTCTATGATTTACAAACAAAGGTGTGTGTGTGTGTGTGTACACGTGCTTTTGTTTGTGTGTGCATATGTGTGTGTGTGCACGCATGCATGTGTGTGAGTGCTTGTGTATGCACGTGCACGCATGCATGTGTGTGTGCTTGTGTGTGCAAGTGCGCGTGTGTGCACGCATGCATGTGCGTGTGTGAGCATGTGTGTGCAACGGAAATGAAAAACAATAACACATACATTGTGGCTTATAAATTGACATTTGACGTTTTGAAAAATTGGATCAACTTATATGCCAAGTATGGAATGTGTCGGAGGTGTAGGAGGTTGTCATTTTGAAATGTACAAAAGTTTCTGTTTGTCAGTCGCCACATAAGGCCTTTGTGGGTCTGAAAGTCTTGCACATTTTTTTGTCAACGTGGCGCATTGCACCTTCTTGATCCAATATTACAGGGTATGCCTCTAGTGCTGACCTGTAAGGCAAGTATAACTCTAAGCATATTTTTCTGAGCTGAAAGGTTGAAGCAACCCCTCATGTTCGTACTTGTATTCATGAGCTAAAAAAAAGTGATGTCAACTTACATGCCAAGAATAGGCCTAGAGCTGTATTTTGGTGCTGAAAACTGCAATGATCTTATACACCATTATTTGTTTACATTGGCCCATAAGTTGCTTCTTCTAGGCGCCTCCTACAGCAATGTCGCGATTGAACTTTAATTTCTGAAGATACAGGGATAAATGTGGAGGGCTGTGTTTGGTAGCTAGTGCCAACAGAGGCTCAGTTGCCATCACTTGTGCCTCTGAGATAACACAGTGTGGAGCTGGAGGAACACAGCAGGCCAGGCAGCATCAGAGGAGCAGGAAAGCTGACATTTCGGGTCAGGACCCTTCTTCAGAAATGGGGGAGGGGGAAGGGGGCTCTGAATAAATAGAGAGAAGAGGGATGCGGCTGGGGAAGGTAGGTCGGATGGTGATAGGTGAGTGCAGGTAGGGAGTGGTGGGGATTGGTTAGTGAGGTGGGAGGAGTGGACAGGTGGGAGGGAAGACAGACAGGTCAAGGACGTGGGGATGAGAGGGAGAGTTGGTCATGGGATGGGGGGGGGGGGGTTAGATTTTGAAGCTAGTAAAGTCCACATTGAGACCATTGGGTTGTAGGCTCCCAAGGCAGAATATGACGTGCTGTTCCTCCAGTTTCCGGGTGGCGTGAGCATCAGAAGTTCTTACTACTCCCACTTGAGTTACTCGGCTGTATGTTCAAGACCCACTGCCGAGCCTGTGAGTAGCAGCTAAGGCTGACGCATCATAGGTGCTGCCTCTCAAATGAGAACTTAAACTGATGCTGCATCGACCTGCTTCAGTGGATGCTAAAGATCACTTGGAGCATTGTTTCAAAGAAGAGTTATTGCTGGTAGCCGAGCCAATTGTTATCCCTCAATCAACAGCGCAAAAGATTATCTGGTCATTATCAGATTGGAGTTTCTGGATGTTTGCTGAGTGGATTTTAGCAATCACGTTTCCTACATTAAAACAATTTCAGCGCTTCAAAAATTTACTTCATTTGCTGTGAGCTGTTTTGGAATGTTCTGAGGTTGTGCACAGCGCTAAGTGAATGCAGCTTCTTTTTCTACACAGACATGGTCAAAGTGTGGGGGGAGGGTGATCGCATTTCGGGAAGGTCCTATTTTGTATGTTACAAAAGTAGAAACATTACCTATGAAACATTTTATATATATAAAATCACAATCCATATAGATGGGAACACAGTGCAATTGCTGACAATTAGCTGCCCTGTATTGCTACGCACTGCAAGTTTTTGAGTCCTGGGAGACTTAGCTTCCTGGGTGGCCAAGTCTATTTAATGGGTTTTATTCGACTATTGCTTAGGGGGACCAACCCATTCACTGGCTTTTTCAAGCAGTGATTGGCTTTCTGTATGATTGTGGATTGATGGGGAAAATCAAATGCCTTATTTGGACAATGAAAATGATTGGCTCTCAATACAGCATCCCGGAATTTTACCACGGTCCCTTACAGCACAAGTTCGTTTGCTGTAAAAAAAAGTACAGTGACACTGGGGAAAAGGTTACGTGACTTCCCAGCTTGTGCCAATTTTGAGGCATTTTCTGCGTCATTAGCCTTTTCATTTTCACAAGGGAAAATGTCAACTTGTAGACAAAAATGGAATTGTCACGGCCCTCAGAAACAAAGAAGTGTGGTTTGTGTGTGAAAAAATGTTTAAAAATGCTGATTTTGGGGACTAGCGGCGACCAGCAATGATGAACTGGAAAGCATCCAAAACTGGAATTCATTCCCATGTCCTAGTGTCAGATCCAGTAGAAAGAATAAACTGTGTCTTCTAAAAAACAAAAATAAACAAACCAGTATCAATGCGTTCCATTGTTGGTTAAAGGCAAAAATACAGATTGGAACTTGTTGCTTGTTAGAGTTTATTAACCAGGCTGTTTATGCTTGTATGAATCCAATCAGATAACGATAGGCTTAAGTTGGCTAAAAGTCTAGCACACAAATGAGGCTTAACTAAGTGCCTCCTGTGAAGAACACAAGTTTGATAGCCTCTGGCTGAGTTGTTCATTGTCATTTTCATTTTCGCGCACTCGAGATTTGAAAATGACAGGAGGAAGTGATCCAGATAGTCCATCAAGCCTGCCCCACTTTCTTGCTGACTCGACAACTTTTAGCTTCATAAATCCCTAGAAGGTTTAAAAGAGCAAAGTTGGAAAGGGAAAAAAAATACTCTGGATAATTCCTCACTCCCCACCCCCAGCCCCCAACCCCTAGCACCCACCCAACTGCAACCCCTTCCTGAAACAAGTCAAAAGCATTGTATCAGTCAAGCTGCTTTTTGAAATGATTCAGATGCACAGAGACTACTACACCAGCTAAAGGCAAATCTCTCTTCATATTTCTTCCTTCCCTCTCGTTGCAAAGAGCTCATTGCAAAACACACCTTGATTCAGTGATTGACTAATTTTGCTCTTCAGTCAGCCACCAGGTGGAAGTGAAGTGAGGGGGCCTGTAGTTCCCCTTTTCATCCAGGATTTGCAGCCTTTGACCACTCCCAAATGCCTTTGTCCCGAGGAGCATCTGTGAAATTGTTAACTTAGAGCAGAAAGAAATTGAACTCCTATCCCACAAATGGTGCCATGCTCTATTGTTCTATTCCAGTGTTTTGACTGATAAATTGCTGAATTTCTTGTTTTAACTAATGTAATTTAACACAGGAACTATTACTAGTACCATCAGGGGCTTCATTCTCATTCTACTGGCTTTAATTGAGGTATCTACCAAAATGACATATATGTGAGACTGCTAAGCCTCCTTTTGCTCAATAATAATAATTTCTAGGCTGCTGCTATTAATGGTGATCTAGAGGAATTGGAGACCCATAGACACAGGTGTTCATATTGTTTTACAACTCCTACTCAGTATGCTTTTAAGAGGCATTAAGGGCTGCAGAGTGGCTCAGTGGTTGGCCCTGCTGTCTTCCAGTGCCAGGGACCCAAGTTCAATTCCACCCTTGGGTGACTGTCTGTGTGGAGTTTGCACATTCTCCCTGTGTCTGTGTGGGTTTCCTCCCACAGTCCAAAGGTGTGCAGACTAGGTGGATTGGCCATGGGAAATTGCCTACAGTGTCCTGGTATGTGCATTAGGTGGACTAGCCATGGGAAATGCAGAGTTACAGGGATAGGATAGGATAGGGTAGGGGGTCTGGGTGGGATGCTCTTGGAGGATTGGTGTGGACTCAATGGAACAATTGGCCTGCTTCTACACTGTAGGGATTCTATGGTACATGTTCATGACATGCAGCAAAGCAGATGAAGTGAGGGTATGTATAAAGATCTCACATTCCATATTACCCCGGTATCACTTGAAGCGTGACACTCTATTGGAAGCATGTTGCTCTGTTGTAACTTAAAAGCTTTGTTTTATCCCAGACACTTACATGTCTGAAAAATATAACACTTGTGCATAATAGCTAGCTATAATAAATTGGATTTTTCAACACCACACCCGGTTTCTGTTAGGGGATATAGCATAAGCTTTGCTGCATCAAATGAAATACCTTGTTCCAGGCAAACATACACCAACTAACACACAATTCCATTTACAACCATCAGTGAAACCATCAAAGCCAATAAGAAACAATACAATATAAGCGAGACAGTATGAATATTTCCTGTTACTAACCTTTCCTGGACAACTCTTTATTTTTTCCTATCTTGGATTACATGGCTCCGAAGATTAACTCTCTGCAGATCCTCATGTTGTCGTACATTTACTTTCACCACAGGAAAAATTCTAAAAAAAAATGAAAAATTTGCAATTTTTAGAACAATCAGTTGACAATATAGTTACAATTATTTTCTACTTTCCCCATGCGGTATGAGTGTTGATTATACATTGCCTTGTCTCTGTTGCCTCAGCAAAACATTCAAATTCCTTAAGCCAGCAGAAGCCAAGAGCTTGCCGTTTGAGTAAAAATTCAATCTTCAAAATTCAAAGCTTTAATGAAACTATTTTTTCCCAATTACTGTTGAATTGTTAAAGACCATAGCACCAAAAGATACTTTCAAGGTGCAAGATTTCAGAATCCTCACCCATGTGAGGGCCATATGTCAAATATATCTTGTCATAAAATGGTGGTGAATGAGGGATAACAAAACGTAAATGCTTTACTGTTTTAGGCAAGCAACAGGACTGAATTTATCTGGTGCCATACATGACACAAAGCAGAGCACAGCTGATGAAGTACCTTTGAGGGATAATCACTGCCAAACATAGGAAACCAAGGCAGCCAGTTGATGCACAGTTAACCCACATAGACATCGATGAGGTACATAATCGGTTAACGTGTTTAATGATGAAGATGAAGAGTAAGTATTGACCAGAAGATGGGGGCGATCCAGCATCCACTCCTATGCATGGTGCTGTGGGACCATCTGCATCCATCTCAAAGGGAAGCTGGGGCCTTGATTGGACAGCTCATCTAAATGATACCTCTGATTGTACAGCAATAAACTGTCAACCTAGACAATTCCCTTGAGTGGGGCTTGAACCCGACTCGGAGATGGAAATGCTAGCTGTAAGCCAGTGCTGATGCCAATAGCAACAGCTAGCTCCATACCAATGAAGTTATACATTGGAGACAGAAAGAATTCACTCAACAGACCAAATATATTTTGTTGCTGGAATCCATGTTGTAGTGCTCTTTTGTGCACTGAGTCTTCAGTTGCACGGTAAAGGAGTTGACTTTCCAACCATACTTTCACCTACAAGCCCTGTGCATCTGGCAATATTAACATGCTTGGCTGGTAGGTAGGCACTTTCCCAAAGCATCCAGATAAATAACTACAAAAACAACACTCACTGATATTTTCTTATTGTTGAATTACACCGCAGTTAAAGTCCAGAAAGAGGCCATTCAGTCCGACCAGTCCATACCGTATTTATGCAGCACACAGGTCTCCTCTCAACTTATTTCTAGTCTTATCTCTAACCCCAGTAGCATATCCTTCTTTTCCTTTCTCCCTCATGTACTTGTTTAGCTTCCCCTTAAAGGTATCAATGTCATTTGCTTCATGACTCCTTGTGGTACTGTACAGTTACAGGTGCCACCCTTTGGGAAGGATATGAATGTTCTGTAGAGTGAATGCAGAAAAGGATTTGCATGAATGGTTCCGGGGATAAGAATCTCCACTTATGAGGAAAGGTTGGAGAAGATGGGACTCTCTTCCTTGCAGAGAAGGCAAGAAGGAGATCTGACAGAAATTTTCAAAATTCATAAGGAGTCTGGATTGAATAGGTAGCGAGAAGCTGTTACCATTCATAAAAGGAACAAGAACAAGAGACCACAGATTTAAAGTGTTTTGCAAACGTAGCAAATGTGATATGAGAAAATATTTTTTCACACAGCAAACAGTAAGGGTTTGGAATGCAGTGCCTGGAAGTGTGGTGGAGGAAGGTTCAATTGAGGCATTCAAAAGGGCATTGGATGGTTATTTAAACATAAACAATGTTACGGGGTTATGGGAAAAAGGCAGGAGAATGGCGTTAAGTTGAAAAACTCGAGAAAGCCAGTGCAGATGCAGTGGCTGAACGGCATCCTTCCGCACTGTAACAATTCTATGATTCTAACCACCCTTTGGGTAATTTTTCCACCCAATTTCCTTATTGAATTTAATTTGATTGAGATTCTCTACTGCACATTGACTCATTACATCATTTTCAGACATCTACCAGGTCACCCCTCAACGTTCTCTTTTCTCAAAGGAATACCTGAAGCTTCGGTATCCTTTCCTAATAACTATAATCATTTAGAATATGCATTCATTTGAAAAACGTCATGGATACATCTTTTGCTTCTGACATTGGTTTACACTTCAACTCTGACGGTCCAAATATTTGAAAGATACACATTTTTAATTCTGCAGTTTTCTCGTGCCTCCTTATTTCCTGGAGGCTTGCGGGCAATCCTGGAGAGTTGGCAACACTAAGAACAAACAGTCCCTTCCTTCACAAATTGTTGCAAACCTGCAGCGAAGTGTGATATCTCGGGGGTACCTGAAGTGGTCCTGAATTTATGTGTCATAACTCACCAATGATATGCAATAGCAAACCAGGTAATTTGCTATCATCTGATTCTCACATCAGTGACATTTCATAGACCTTTTTTTTGACAAAACAGAAGAAACATCAACCTAAAGCCTGGTCACAGAGCAGGCAAAACTGTACTATGAATGAATTTCCCCTGGTACAGCTTCCAAACATTGCTGCAATTCCAAGTACATCCTGTACTGCACTTATAGCAAGATCTATCCCAGCTCATTTCCAAGGAGACAGAGATAATTTTCTGTTTGCTTGATGGAATTGAAGTAATTAAAATTTCAACTCATCTACTGAAGGATCTGCAGATAACGCTTTCCAAATTATGATGATGTTCCTGATTCAGTTTCCTCCCAATGCTCTGCTGCAACTTGAGTTCATTCTTCTCTTTCCTTTTAAACTTCAAAAAAAACTTCTCTCCTACAGGCTGTATCCCCACACTTTGGCCTAGGACTAATAATAACTTAATTTAAGATAATTTAATTAAACTCATTTTCTCAGAAAAGTTGCTGATCATATGTTACTCTATTGAAAAACTTGGCAGCACTTTGGAGCTTGATACACATTTATCTCTTGAATGACTCCCCAAGAGACTCACTGAATTTGGAAATTTCTTTCCCGAAGCCCTCTGGGAAGTTTCCTGTGAACTCTGGGTAACTTCCTCTCATTTTGAATTATGGCATTGTATTTTTTTTCCTCAAACGCCAAGTGCCAACTCCAAGCACACAGACAAACCCACATGTCCAACCCAGAACACCAAGAACTCAAATCTATGCCAAATGATGTTGAAATTCATATCTCAGTTTCATCACAACACTGAATGATATTTCAATAACTGCTTATAACAACAACAAAAAGAAAATATGGATTTTCAAGCAGGAACTGGAACTTTCTGTCTCTCTTTTTCTCTGCCTATTTCTCTAATCATCTGGAAAACAACACCCAGTGAAGAAGCCAATTAATGTAACAATCATTTACCAAGAACACAGAGATGTCTATGAAATTTTCAAATACTGAGGATACCATTCAATAAGCCATGAATTAGGGGAAGCAATAGTGTCATGGATAATGTCAATTGTCTAATAATGCAGCGATCCTCTGGGGACATGAGTTCAAATCCTGTCATGACAGATGGTTAAATTGAATTCAATTAAAGTCATAGAAATGTACAGCACAGAAACAGACCCTTCAGTCTGACTTGTCCATGCCAACCAGATATCCTAAATTCATCTAGTCCCACTTCCCAGCATTTTTGCCAATATTCCTCTAAACCCTTCCTATTCATATACCAATTTAGATGCTTTTTCTCAATAAAACATATAACCCAAAAAATACCCTACTCACTATTGTAGATTTACAAATTAAAAACGTAAGGTTACATTTTAAAAGTAACCACTTAGCTGTTCCCCTGCTGTGAGGTCCCCATACAGGTTTCTCCAATGCCCAGATACTTGAAACGAAACTGCAGAGGCAGGCAGCTGTGCAGGTTCACTGCCCATGTGGTCCCTGCTTTGTCCTTCTTTCTCCTTTTTAAAAGTGCCATTGTTTCGACCCTTTTTTCCCACAAGTTCCAAAACAATGCAACAGCTTATAAAACAGTAATTATTACTTCTAGAATTTGAGGACATCAGCTCCAACGCTGAAAATACCTCACAAAATGAGCAGCTCTGACAGCCTCCATTTTTTTCCAGTCTTCCATCTTGGATTATTAGGCTGTATCTTAAAAATTTCAGAATTAATTTCTATCCTAATGGCAATTATCTAAGTATTGTCAATGGTTGTAAAAGCCAATCTGGTTTACTAATTCCCTTTAGGAAAGGAAATCTGTCATCCTTAGCTGGTCTGGTTTACAGACCCACAGCAATGTGGTTAACTCTTAACTGCCCTCTGAAATGGCCTTGGTAAGCCATTCAGATCAAAGGGCAGTTAGAGATGGGCAATAAATGTTGGCCCAGCTAGGGACACCCACATTCCATGAGTGAATAAAAAAGAAACTGTGGTCTCAGTATATAACACTTTAAAAACTTTAAGATCTTTTTAACTGCAAAACCATTATTCTCCTGTCTGTACTAGACACTCTCTCTTTTAAGATAACAAGGTGTAGAGCTGGATGAACACAGCAGGCCAAGCAGCATCATAGGAGCAGGAAGCCTTCCTGCTCCTA